TATATATATATATATATGTATGTATATGGAATTGCATATTGATTTTGTAAGGATTTCTTTGGGATTTATACCATATGTTTCCTTTTTTATATCATCTAATATTTTTTAATCTTAATTTCATAAATCTATGGCCCATTTACAAAATATATATAATGCGTCAATTTAAAATATGTAAGTGTAAATAAGTAAGGAGATCATGCGACAGAAACTCTCCCACGCCCTCCATTCGCTGCAAAGTTGAAAATGAGCGCGTGCGATCGACGCGTCAATGGTGCGAGTGCGTATCAGCGCTCTCAGCATTCGACCGTTTGGGTTCTTTTAATGCACTTTTTAATTGGGTGTTTTAATCATTAGAGCCGTAATTAGGAGCTCTGAATTAAACTTATATAACTGTCGAAATTCAACTGTCGAACGACGAAGACAACAACATGTCAAAAACAACAGTAATATTAGTCTAAACGGGTTTATACAGTCTAAATCTATGCAAGAATCGTTACTAACCACCAAAAATAAAATAAAAAGAATAAAACAGATGTTTTTAGACGACAGTAACGCAACACAACGGGGAGAACATGCTTTAAGAAATCTACACAGAGGGACATGAATCGAAACAGTGGAAGACTAACATACGATATTACATTAAAGCCACTTCAGAGACAATCGCCAAAACAAAAGCAAATCACCAATATTTCCTTCCCCTTTTGGTTAAATCCAATCAGATTAGATTCTGATTTATCTGTCAGTTTTTTCATCACCGTCGCCTGTTGATGGGCTTGGCCGCCGATGCTGATGATGATGAAATGCTGACCGTTGGTTTCTTTGTACCTGAGAATGATAAACAACAGTTTCTTGAATTGTTCGGAGTTCCGACCAAACTTTTAGAGCAAAAGAATCATATCTTGCAGCTCGTGTCCACATTCAGAAATGGATTTTGAGATGAAATCGGATACGAGATTGTAAAAATACGTTCAGAATGCAAGTTGCAGAAACACAAAAATTTACTGGTTAGGGCCTTGGAGGAAGAGCTGGTCGTTGTAATCGACAAACGAGACGGTTTGGATGGCCCCACTGCTTTCGGTGTCTGCTTCATTAGCCTCGATGTCAAATTAGTCCTGCATCGAAGGGTCGGGAAAAAAAGAAGAACAACAAAGATTAATCACGAGATTACAAAGTTCCATAAGATTTAGTATATGATCAGAAGCGGAAGGAAAGTATAGAGGATGGATACTGACTTGGTACTCGGCTCAGTGGCTTTCCCTGCTGCTTTCTCGGATTTCTCACGTTTCAATGATTTCTCTGACGTTCGTTGTTGTTGTTGTTGTTGAGATTTCTCGGATTTTTCCGTTGGTATTGTGGTTTCAGGGAAGAGAGTCATCTCCACCGAACTGCTTCTCGAACCATCAGCTTCTGTTCCCATCGAGAGACAACTATCCGATATATCACTCAATCTTCCCTCGGAATCTGCCTCTTCAATGCCCAAGAGTTCGATATCTTCCGCTAAACTGTTATTGCCTTTTGCAAACTTAGACGACGAGAGGAAGTCCTTTCGATGTCTACGCTCATCTGCTGACTGCTGTGATCCGGAATCAGAATGCTTTCCACTGTAATCCGAGATATTATCGATATCTGAATTCGCTCTTCCAAATAAATTCGAAC